AGGCAGCCAACATAGAACTTTGCCATATCTTTTCATGAGTCTTGAAAGCGGAACACGATTTGTGTAGCCAACCCTAAATAGTTGGGACACCAACATGTCTCTTTTGGAAAGGGTACATTAAGTATATGATTCATAACCACTATTGGTTTCTAAGGCACTCCAAGCATGCTTTTTAGATGCTACTTGGTTGTTGAAATTAAGAGGGATATTGCCAAATTGCTATCAATTCCCAAATATTTGAAGCGGGTGCCAAATTCTTGAGCCTTTCTTACTGAAATATGGTGTATCTATTGGAAACCAATGTTTGGTATGTCTTCATGCATTTTTTTCCCCTCATTCATCTCTTGTGGGTTTATTTCTACTTCAGCTTGATATTTAATAATGTAAAGAATAGTACTCAACTTTCATCGATTATTTATATTGGTCTAAAAGGATTGCTTGATCAACTTGCTATGGCCTAGCAAGTACTTTATCATCATCATTATCATAGTGTTTTCCCAACTTTTTAGTGTCGGGTACAGGAATCTTGATCCACCATTTTACTCTACCAAGGGCCATACCCTTAGTGAGGCCATAAGTCCCTATATCTTTTCTCCTTACTTCCAACCATGTCCTTTTGGGCTTATACCTTGCTTTTTTTGAGCCTTCTACTGGAACCAACTCGCACCTCCTAATAGGTGCTGTACTGGGTCTGCGTTGCACATGGCCAGCCCATCTAAGTCTATTTTCTCTCATCTTATTGCCTATTGGAGCCACACCTAAGTTCTCCCTAATGTATTTATTTCAAATTCTATCCCTTCTTCTCTTGCCACTTATCCATCTCAACATCCTCATCTCAGCTACACTCATCTTATGGATATGTTGTTTCATGACCGCCCAACATTTTACCCCTTTTCACAGCTGTCCTATAGAACTTCTCCTTTAGCTTCATTGGCATGTGGCGATCACACAAAACTCTTGTTGCACATTTCCACTTCGGCCCCCGAGCTCTAATTTTATGTGCGATATCTTCTTTAATTTTTCTATTTTCTTGTATTATCGACTCAAGATATCGAAATTGTACTCTTTTTGGTATTTATTGGTCGTCAATTTTAACTACTTCCTCGTCTCTACTTCTATTATTACTAAAATTGCATTTCATATATTGTGTCCGAGTCCGGCAACTACTTAAATATCAAATAAGTTTATCACTGATGAGATTGGAGATCCAGTCGGTTGTTGAATGATATCATTTTAGCAGTCTTTGTGAGGCTAATTTAGAAGCTAATACCCTGTTCATTTTGTTGTGGAAGGACATGGATTTTCGTACCGTGGCTGATTCTCCCTCAACCCCCCCCTACCCCCACCATCCACAAAAAAATTTCAACCTTTCTTTTTTTTCTTTCCTTTTTTGCAAATGTACTCCCACCTCTATCCCGTCCTCTCTGTCTCCCCACACCACCTATCCCAATGTACATCTTTGTTTCTCTGCACTCCATGCGATTAGGTGTAGGCTTCTAAGTTCTACCATTTTATCTTTGAAGAAAAAATTTAGGCCTTGTACACCTTCCTTGATTCATTAATTAACATACGATGTATTGTCACTGTTATTATTTGATGGCCTTATTTTCCCTCTACTATTCTTTTGCCTCTCTTTTGAATACAAATTGTGCTTTTAACCAACATCTATTTTGGCCTACTGGCCTTCCTACTTTAGATATTCTTCAGCAAAGTCTCGTATGCTTTCATTTTGTTGGGACATGGTCATAATTGGGTGCCACTGTTGGATTTCAGTGGTTACATTTTGGATTATACTTATTGTCAATATCTGAATGTTAGATTTGCAGGAAGCCATGGTATCCATTATTTCAATGCACCAATAAATAAACAAATTCTTCTAATATTAGACTCACACATTACTTGGCTGATTTGCTGCTTTCTCTTTCAACTCCAAAATGATGTTCCAAATCTTGCGTCACATCTGGTTGCCAAGATATCTGTACGTGTTTTATTCACTGTATTCCTTCTCATTATATTGCCAAAATGTACTTGGAAAGGATTCTCACAATTTTACAGTTTGGCTGTACATGCTTTCTTTCTTATGGGAGATTCTCCTAGATATGTTTTTTCCCTCTTAGTGCTCGAAATAACCAGGCATATTCTTCTGAATAGGAATGTTTCAAAAATATTGACTGCTTAATGTATCCACCCACATTTGTGTTTGTTAAGGACTGCCAGATCTGGGCAGTAATTTCTGAGGGCTCATGAACCTAGTGCCTGTATTCCTTGCAACCTATTTACTTTGCTGTTATAGTTTTTGATATTAGAAATCTTTTCATGTTGCAAAGCTTTATCACACATTCCTTTTTTTGTTGTTTTCTGGGTTTCTTTTTTTTTTTTGTGGGGTTGGGGAGGCGGGGGTGGAGAACTTCATTAAGCACCTTAGAAATTATGTAGGAGCCATCAACAAAGCAAGTGCATCCACAATAACAAAACTGTCCTTGCTCTCAAGCTTGATTTTCCAGACGTGTAGGTACCTGTTTTTCACCTGTTCTCTGCCCTTATACCAAAGCAATATAGTGTGGCTGAAAGTAAATACAATCATACTATACGCTCATAATGTCACTATGGTATCTGTGATTGCTCTACCCATTTAGTACTTGCTGCTTCTTTTGAGGTTTTAAATGTGGCCATGTTGACTAAGGAGACGTAGCTCCTCGAAAGGTGTATACTTGGTTCATATAGATTCTTCTTCTTCCTGTGATAAAATTAATAAAAAGCTGTCATTATGTGTTTTTTGGCTAATCACCTTAACAGAAACTGGTGCTTTTTAACATTCTTTTATTCGAGGTTTTAGATATCTTCATGTTATTATGCAAAGGATTACTGATGCTTTTGTCACAATACCAAGTTGTACTATGTGCCATCTTCTTCATTACCTTCGCTGCCCTCTCCTTTTACCATACTTGACAGATGCTCTTCACCTATTGCTGCATTCCGAGTAAATGGTTTATTCAGGATTCTCATGCCCTTTTCAAGTTCATCCCCGTGTGATCTCTCTTAGAAATTGTTCCTTCAGTCTCTTGTTGTGGATGTGAAGACACATTCTCTTGCTAGCTCACCTTGCTTGACTTTCCCTCAGCATGACATCCAGCTTTGGTCCTGTGACAGTTATCCCCTGGTGAATATATTGTTTCTCATTTGTGATTTGCTTTAGATTATGACGGCTTTTCTTAAACATCATCAGAGCCTTTTTCCAATTATTTGGGGTTGGCTACACGAATCTTGGTCCACCATTCTGCTCTATCAAGGGCCATATCCTCAGTGAGGCCTTAAGTCCTCATATCTTATGTTGCGCTTTTGTTGAACATAGTTCATAATTTTGTTGAGCCTGACCTTGTAATCAAAGGGCAATCCTTTGTGACAGTCTATCATGTATAAGATGATTCTCCACTTCCAAAAACTTTGATGTTGTCTATTTCTCCACAGTAAAATTACTGTGGGGTGAAGATTGTTTCTAAAGTTTGAGCCTGATGACATAGTGGAGCAGTAGAAAGCTTATCTTATTTCCAAATGGTTTCGTTGAACAAATGGTTAACAGATCTTGAGCCCTGTTGTGAAGGAGTTCAAGCGATTCCAGTTTGGCACTTCACCTTACTGCTGTGACATTCATGCTTCTCATGCTCTCGAGGAACAAAGTGAACATTCCTTCCCAAAGCTTGGCCAAGCAAGGCACTCATATAGGACTTGAACACTTTAAAGTTTATGACTTTGGACAAAACATGATGGTTCTAAATGGTTCTAAGGAAATATGAGTTTAAATAAATATAAAAAAGGAACAATTTTGCTTTATATAAAGGTTGGTTTACGATATAATTTGAATCTTAGACAGCTCGAAGGGTCAAGGGTATCAGAGAAGTGGAATTCCACAAGAAGTATGATTTGGAGTTGGTTGTTTATCTTGCTAGAGATAGCACTTTCTTGTCTTCCGTTATCTACCTGGGTGCCATACTGCTAAAATTGTGCTTCGGTTATTTCCTTAGGCTCCATATTGGGCCTTGGACCATGCATGTTCTTTAGTCTGCTTCTTTCAAATTTCTGAAAAAAATTCTACAAGGCAATCTCAGTAGAATGCACCATTGAACCCTCTTTTTGAGGTAACAGATCAAATGTCAAACTGTTTAAAAGGGTACCTAATGACTATGATAATACCGGGGAGTCTGAAACAAGGAAATTCATTAACCTGTGATTTCTTTATTCTTGATTTGATAGATTGGAGAATAGCTGTAGATGGTGAACTTTTATATGTGAAGCCCAGTGTTTGTTGGGTGACCCCACTATTAAGTGTCTTAAATCCAGTACGAACTTATGGGGGTGCTACATCAATTGAATCTACCACACCCCCCAATAAAAAGGCCCCTCAAATGTATCATTTTTGCCGCACCATTTCATTTCTACACTGGTCCACCTAGAAGCCATGGTAATCAACTGTAGCTTGCAACACGCAAGAAATATAAATTGGAGTTTATATCAGTGTTATCAGATACGCTTCACTTCCGCTGAAGTCTTGTGTGTTCTACATCCGAGCAGGAGCGAAATGAATCACTCCCCGATATTTCAATATGTTAAATATTGATTCCAAATATGCCCCAAACATTTTCATAGTATGGTAGAAGTACCTCAACAATAACAAAAATTATGTGGAGCGACCTCTAGGATATCCGATATTTGGAAAATATACCTTGTGTACATATATTATAAAAATGCCCAGTGTCACTTTTTTTTTTTTTTAAATTTTGTTTTCGTAAAATATGCATAAGGGCTTCTCTCATATCAGCTGAAGAGCGGAAGGGCTGCCCTTCTCGGCTGTCTTGGCTGAAACGAGGTGCCCTCCAAACCAAATCTGATAATTGATTGTTGGTTTATATGTCTCACCAATGTGCGTGTTTAATTTGATAGATACCTGTGAGGTCTGTAACTTATTCTTTGGCATGTGTTGTTTCTCTGAAATTGTGTTGCAGGAGTTGCGGGCGTGTTAAGCTACCACATTTCTTTTGCTGTAGTGGTGATAGGGGAACCAACTAGTCGGATTAGTCACCATGTCGATTGCCATTGATGGTCTTTTTTGGGGGGGATTTACTTTGTACTTCTGTTTTTTGTACCGCTTTTAAACTGGAAATCTTCTTGCCATTTTTAAGCTTCATCTGGGTTAAGAAATTTTAGTGGTTAGATTTTGATTCCTATTTCTGTGTTTTTTCACTTAATGAAATATAACAAGCTTGCTAAATTTTGGATATTCGACCCTAAAATATCAGATTTAAGTTACGAAAAGGAAGCTAAATGCATGAAATATGTAAAAGTTGGTGATATGGTAAACAAATGACTCAAATTGAAACGATCTTGCAAGAATGACACTACAAGATGATGAAATTTGACCACGTCTCTAAATTGTTGCATGGGAAATTTATCAAATCGCGGGATCAAACTGTTTAACATTCTCCCATCTTTTTCTTATTTTATATGGTTTCTGAAAGGCATAATCAGGAGATCATCACTAGCCAAATATGGAGGGCATTTTCTACTTTTGCCCTCTGTTCAAAACCCATGACGACGGAGAAAACACATCCACTCCAAAATCCGCCCCATTGAAGCTGCACATGAAGCAGCCGTAAGCTTTTGCCAGAAAAATTGGAACTCAGAACCATAACATCAGCGGTGATGATATCAGAAGGTGCTATCTGATGGGTAATTTGAGTATGTTATGGATTCATGTGTTTATTAAAAGAAGGGAATCTGGTTTCATAATGGGACTTCAGATTTTCTTCTTATTTGAGTAAGAATATGGTTCTTTTGGCTTCTTGGAGGGGCTCTGTCTCTTGGGGTAAGTCAGTTTTAGAGAAAACGTAGTGAGTTTAATTGATTTTCTCTGGTGAAAGAAATTCTAGTGAGAGAAACGGTGTGTCTTGGTTTGCAAGGATGTCAGGTGTGTAGAACTTACTGCAAGCCCTACAAGCTTTCAATGTTTCCTGCCAATGCTAAAATTGAACATTCAATTTGAGAAGGTAGGTACATATCGGTGTAGGCATTAACTTTTCAAATAATAATAAATAAAATAACATAAAATAAAATTTTGAACACAGATATTATCAAAGGGTGTCTTTTTCATAAAGCATAGGCTTAATGAAAACAAAGTAAAGCTTCACCACATCATTGTCCGGAAAGTACGTTCAGCATTGGAAATCTTCATGGTGGCTTTAAACAAACACTGGTTATAAAATTTGAAGCTAAAGAGATGCACAAATCTTGTAGATCCGTGAACACTTATGTTTATGGTGAAATGGGTGGTTTAGATAATGCGTCAGAATATATAATATTTTTAGGAGTTGAAATTTTTTTTTTTTAACAACCATAATAACTAAGGCCGAGATGATCAATTTGAAGTTTTTTCAATGCAAGCAGTGTAATTTTCAATGAGTTTTGAGGTGAGGGTTTACTTACTTTGATAGAGCTGCCGACCTATCAACATTTTCTTTATCCAAAAAGATTAAGGATGTAGTTTATATAAAGCCTTGGCCTTTTTTAAAAAAGGTAAAGCCTCACCTTAGAACCATGTCTAGAAAACACTTCGAGCATGGGAGAAAAATGATTAATAACCTAAAATCTATTTCCACTATTGGTTACAAAATTGTTATATAAAAAGTGATATAGATCTCGCAAATATGTGGACACTTGAAAACAGACGTTCTAAATAATGTGTGGTAATATACACTCTTTTTATAGTTTACAGTCCTTATTTTTTCACATTGATAAGAAATTTGAGGTTTTCCCTATATAGGGACTATAATTTTAAAAACTAAAAATAATAATTCTAGTAAAAAAACATTTGGATCGTTAGTTTTCATTGTTTTTAGATGGAACACCTACTTGCATCCATGGATGCTTTACACTTTCCTGTTTTTAGATGGACCACCTACTTGTATCTTTATACTTTCTTGACCGCATATGTAGAAATGCGGTCCAACCTGCATGAAACAATTTTCCATAATATAAAAACTTAGCATCTTTACACTTTCTTGACCGCATATGTAGAAATGCGGTCCAACCCGCATGAAACAATTTTCCATAATATAAAAACCAATTTCACATAGGCATAATAATATTTTGACACTTTCTTGACCGCATATGTAGAAATGCGGTCCAGCCCGCATGAAACAATTTTTCATAATATTAAAAAAACCAATTTCACAAAGGCATTTAATATGTTGAAAAAAAAAAGTGGGGCGTTCCGAGAATTGAACTCGGGACCTCTCGCACCCTAAGCGAGAATCATACCACTAGACCAAACGCCCTCCCAATGTTCGATTGGAATTGTTTTAAATCCACATAAAATACTAAACAGCAATTCGCCTTGGAAACTTGTTATTGATCACTGATGTTTATCACTTAGTAGGGGGGTAATCCTACCCCCTAAATAATTTTAATGTTGTGATAAATTTCGTATATGAATCATATATAAATGATATCGTTGTTATATTTTCTTATAATTATTAGCAAATTTACAAAGTAATTATGATAATCGTTATATTCCATCCAATATAAAGGAATAAGTTTATATAAGTGCGAGGCTCTAAACAATCAAATTAAGGCGCACATCAAAATTTCAATAGAAGATGTTGTTTTGATGCCCAAAAATCCTCAAATTGATCATCCCGACCTCAAGATGCATAAAGATGAGAAAAAAATGGATTTCAAGTTCTGGAAGTAGTGCGTCTTGTAATGCATTTTTGGATCGTCTATTTTCAAGATTTTCAAGATTTCAGAGTTATGCTCGATCTACACTATTTTTTAAGCATTAAATTTTATAATTCAAGATGAAACATATATTTTAAGGTTTTCACAAAGCTTTCCAATATTGAAACCACATTTCTAGACACTATTTGAAGGTATGATGTACTTTGATTGTTTAGAGCTTCGGCCTTATACAAATTCCACCCATATATAAAAACTAACATTACCAATAAACTATCATTGTAATAAATTTGACCTATGTTACAAATTATATTTATAAAATTTTCCATATAATATTATTGTATAATATAAATGTTATGATTATAATATATTATTAATAATATAACAATAATCTAATTACAATAATGTAAATAATGTTATAATTATAATTAGAGAAAATTACATAAATATCTATTATACTTTGCATTATTACAGATTTATCAAATAGTTTCCGTTATTACGTGCATGTCCGTTTTTTACTTTTTATAATGCAATTATTTAAAAAAGGCAACTTTATCCTTTTTCGAATGTTGAACAATCGAATTGGAGTTTTCGGATGTTGAACATCCGAAAATAGGCGGAAAGTTTAACATTCACATTCCCATTTTCCGGTGTTGAACATCCGAATTGAAGGGTTATGTCGATACATTGTATTCCTTGTGAAAATGGTTTTGGATGTTGGATGTCCAAAAGTGTCATATTTTCAGATGTTGAACATCCGAAAATGGTTTCGGATGTTGGACATCCGAAAATATGACATTTTCGGATGTTCATCATCCGAAAATGGCTGCGAAATTCCAGAGACTTTATGGAAATTCAAAGTCATATTTTCGGATGTTGAACATCTGAAAAACCTTTCAATTCGGATGTTCAATACTCGAAAATGGGAATGTGAACGTTAAACTTTTGGCCTATTTTCAGATGTTGAATATCCGAAAACCCTCCAATTCGATTATTCAACATCCGAAAAAGGGTAAACTCGTCTTTTTTAAAAAATGGCCTAAGGTAAAAAACGGACATACATGTAATAATGAAACTATTTGGTACATTCGTAATAACGCAAAATATAATGAATGTGTATGTAATTTTCTCAATAATAGTATAAGGAGTATACTTACATTACGAATGATAAATACAATATTATTAATATTTTAATTATTATGTATTTATATTATTAATATAATATATAAATTATAAACAAATAATCTATTGTCAAAGAATAGAAGAATAATCCATTTATGACCATTATTGAGAGAGGTAGTCATATTCTCTAGTCACATTATTTCTTGGACCTAATTTTTGTGGGGCCAACCCTCTTAATAAATCTATTTTTGAGATGGATTTTAAGCCTTAATTTTAAAGGACATGTAATCTCTAATACGGAGATTATGAATATGAAAAAATAAATAAATTTTTAAAATTGGAAATAATAATTATAGTAAAAAACATTTGGATCGTATGGAACACCTACTTGCTTCCATCTTTAAAGTGGATGCTTTACACTTTCTGAACCACATATGTGGAAATGCTGTCAAGCCTGCATGAAACAATTTTTTTTTTTTTATATATTTCTATCACTATCAAATCAAATGGGTGTGGTTTGCATAAGGTTGCAACCTTAAATAATCAAAATAAGGTGTACCTCTAAATTTTGGCATGAGATGCAATCTTGGTGTAAAAAATTCTTAAGATGGTGTGAAAATCTATTTTTGTTTAATTATGAATTTTAAACTCCAAAATTAATCAAGCAGATCTATAAACAAATGAAAATCTTATGAGATTTGTGTGTGAGAGGCAATTGGCTAGCTCAGCTCGTCAATGGGCGACCATATGGGCTACTGGCCCATGCTCATGTTTAGCCAGGTCACGCTACCCTGGGGCAGCCACTTAGCGAAGCCATCCAAAACTTAAAACTTGAGACTTAAAATTTGGGAGGGAGAATTTTCTCTCTAAAACTTAAAATTTGAGATTGTTCATCTCTCTAAGAATTTTCGGGTAATTTCTCTTTATAAAACTTAAAATTTGAGAAAGTTTCTCTCTCTAAAAATTGTGAAGTATTCTCTCTCTAAAACTAAAAACTTGAGATAGTTTTTCTCTCTAAAAATTTTTAGATAGTATCTCTCTTTAAAATATTTTTAGATATTTGTCTCTCTAAAATTTGATATAGTTTCTCTTTCTAAAATTCTAAGTTATTTTATCTCTAAAACTTAAATTTGATATAGTTTCACTCTAAAAATTTTGAGATGATTTCTCTCTAATTTTTTATTTTCCAATAGTTTCCTTCTCTAAAACATAAAATTTCATATAGTTTTTGAAAGAATGACTCATGTGATCTAGTTGGAGTATATAATAATAAATTTTTTTTTTTTCTTTTCTTCATGGCCTAGATCACCTACAAGTACTCATTTTAGAATATAATAACTTCAAATAATACGATAGGA